AAATTGATGAATTTCTTCCACTAAAGGGGGAATCAATTTCCCGGGAATAATATCTGTAAAATTGTCACATATTGGAAAATACGTCATTCTAGCACGAGTTGATGTGTTGTTGTTTTGGTGTGAGTGTACAATGGGATATCTCCTCAAACTGTTAAGATTTTATACTATACATGGAAAGTATCCATTTCATTTGTCTCAGTGTTAATTTGTGTTTCTGGGACATAAGGGACCACATGGACCCAGGAGATAGTTGACCTGCTCCTTCACAATGGAGGTGCTGAGGCCTGCAAACGAGCCCCCACATCTTTACGCAGTCCTTGCCTTGAGTTCTTCTCCCCACCACCCATCCCCTCAGGTGTGTATTTAGGTGGTTATGTTTATGTGCCAAATCCTCTTTTATTTGGGCACACTCTATCTATTGACATTGTTTCACTTCCCAGATATTTATTCTAGGAAAGAAACGAAAATGGTGCTAGTTTAAGTCAATGGATGATTATAAAGCAGCTGTAGGATATCTGTCCATCTCTGTGCATTAAAGTGGGACTCATGTAACATTACCATAACATGGAAACTGAGATAGTGTGGAACAAAAGTATGTTTCAGTGCCTTCATACATATCCTACATATCAAGATCTACAAATCCTTCTAAGTGAACTTGTGTTTCAGGTCTTGATCTTCTACATAACATAGATCTTCCAAGAATCATCAAGACACATCTTCCTTTTCAGCTGGTGCCTCCTGGATTTTGGGAAAACAAGTGCAAGGTAAGGCTCAAACTGTCAGATTCAACCGAGAGCAAAATCCTGTGGTGAATTTTATTGCCTCACATGATGCACATAAATGGGGTGAGAGGTTACAATGCAAGTGCCTCATTCGGTTACCCAGTGTCTGCATTGTTGTTATAATCCCTTTTTATATTTCCCTCCTGGTTGTGTGTAAAGGTTATCTATGTGGCACGCAACGCCAAAGACAACTTGGTGAGCAACTACCACTTTGATCGTATGAATATGTACCAGCCCGAGCCCGGGCCCTGGGAGGGCTACATACCCAAGTTCATGCGAGGAGAGTGTAAGTATTAAATCACATTCCCAAGTGTCATTTTATCTTTATTCAAACTGGTTGTTTCTGTTTCCACAAAGCTTCTAACCGAACAGAGATATTACAGCCACACTGGTACATTTACCAACGCCACCGGCCAGAAGTTCTGATGTATTTTAAATGATTTAAATATGTAGGACTGGCTGGTGTAATCCATGACACCTTAGAAGAATAAGTGTCCTTACCCCACTGTTTTTCCCTGTGAGAACCTTATGCCTCAATGACCATAACAAGATTAACAGCACCCTGCAAGGCTGTAGAGTGAAGGTGATGCCAATCAGGAGAATATGTTCCTTCAGTTCTCCAAAAGAATTTCATCTGGTGTATTTTTATACTTAATTTCTGCCTTAGTGTTGGATTGCGCTCAATACACTAACTACTTTTTGGTTTGGGACCTTGGGATCCATTTTGCTTTTGGAAGTGCTGATGACCCTGCTGTCAAATCAAATCCACTCTATTTTATTTAAGATTAATACACAGTGCACAAAAATATTAGGCTGATAGGTCCAGTAGTATGTAATATTAGCTGTGGTTAGACAAATACACAAATGCATGGATGCACGCATGCACACACATATGCCCAAATGTGTGATCCCCTCCAAGCTTGTGCCTGGCAAAGAAAATGACTTTTTAAAGTGGCTTTAGGTAATAATTCTCTGATAACAATGTACAGCATGACTACTTGTATACATAGGCAGCCTTAGCTATGTTTGTAGATAGATAGATAGATAGATAGATAGATAGTAAAGAGAATCATCACAGAAGCAGCCAACTTCAAAACAATGGGTGTTGGTGCAGTAATCCATCAAGCCAGCAGCTTTAAATATTAACAGGTTGTTAATAAATAGATTTGGGTCTAGAGTCTCTGCAGCCCTGTCCCAGAAGGTAACTGGATTTACTGTTCATCGGTGAGTCCTCTTTACAAATTGAAGAGCTCACTAGAGCCAGAGGGGTTTTTCACAACCTGGCATCCAAAAACTCACTGACTTATATTTGATCTATAATAAGTACATTCATTATGACTATACAAATATTTGTTACAACTTATAAACCCTTTAAATGTTGACATTTACCCTGTTATTGGACTGAGAGTAATGTTACCATGAAAGATGCTCAGTAACTTTTGTCTCTACAGTGGCCTGGGGCTCCTGGTACGACCATGTGAAAGGTTACTGGGTGGAGAGAGAGAAGAAGAACATCCTTTACCTCTTCTATGAGGACATGAAAGAGGTACAGAGAACATGTGGACTCAGTATTACCAAAGCATATTGAACGTACTCTTACCATCATATTTACTTCTCCAGAATCCTCGGCGTGAAGTGGAGCGCATCATGAGGTACCTGGACTTGTCAGTGTCTGATGAGGTCATCAGCCGGATTGTGGAGCTCACATCCTTTAAGAACATGAAGGAGAACCCAATGGCCAACTACACCTTCGTCCCAGTACCTGTTTTTGATCACTCCATCTCCCCCTTCATGAGAAAAGGTGCATCAGTCTGCTCCTGGTCTGGTCTAGAATGAAGATATTGATCAATATAATTACAAACGAGCAGAGCAGGACACGTACCAATTCTAAAGTCAGAACACCATGAATATCTCATGATGTAATGCAGTTAAATCAACAGTATAAGCTTCACAAAGACAGTACACACTGATCTGTTACTTGCTTGTTTCATATTTTGTCTTCTGATTAGTCTATAAGCGGAAATTTGATCTGAAGTTGTTTTGGTGTTTATTTCATCTTTTATAATAAGAATATTATATCACAGATATAGATTTGATATAGATTATTATAATAAGATGCCACTGCCACTGACAGGCTCAGATTATTATTCCACTAACCTCGCCTCTCCACCACACCTACCTGCCAGCCTATCACCTGTCCACACGTCTCCCACTCCTGCCCACTCCTGCCCACTCCTGCCCACTCCTGGATTAAACCTGTTCCCCTAGAGGTTAGTCTTGCTTGGTGTTTCACTTGCCTGATTGTTCTGTTTGTTGCACGTGGTTTCATTAAAGCCAATTACAAACTGTCCTTCTATTTGTAGTGCTGCTATTGGGTTCTTACCATACCCTTGACATGTTGATTTCAAGTCTGTTTTTGGTTACACAACATGGATCTCTGTAGGGATCCTTTCCATAAGTTGTCAGACACCTATAATAACCATCTGAGCCTGTCAGTGGCAAAAAACATCACTTTTAATGGACTTAAATGTGCTCAGTTGCTCACAGGGCTGTAGCCCTCTCGCTCAATAACAGACTACTTTCAAAAATTGTTCCCATAATTTACTTAGACACAAAACATTAGAAAGGTTGGAAAATACCAAAGTTCCCCTTTAAGACTTTGTTTCTTGATTATTTGCAAATAACAGCACATATGGTCACTGATTTATATATCTAACACTGCCGTATTCTCTTCTGCATTTTCTCTTTACAGGTGAAGTAGGTGATTGGAGAAACCATTTCACACCCGAACAATCGAAGATGTTTGATGAAGATTATGAAAGGCAAATGAAGGGTGTCAACTTACCGTTCAGGACCCTCATCTAATGGATTTTGGGTTTCTAAAGTGATACAGCTCTGCAAACTAAAGACCTTTGTTGACCATTGTCTTCGCAATTTATTGTTTCTTATCTGTGAAATAAAAGTAAATAAAGGCTAAGTTTCCACCGAGGGAAATGGTTTCAGCTTTTAAAAATAGACAGGAGGTCTGCGTCACCGGGAGGTATCCCAGCAAGCATTTTTTGGTTTAAAAAACTTCTAATAGCCATCTACATGAAGACCTGACGTCTAGGCTAAATCACAGCTGAATTTGGGCTGTCAGTGAAAATTTGGTAGACGTCTAACCATAGCCAAAGTGTAGACTTCATCAATTATACGGCTATGTAGAGACCATGTCCAAAAAATGGAGGTAAACATATTTTAATTACTGTTGACTCTCCATACGTGATTGAACATCATACCGTACGCCATCTGCAATGGCGAAAATTATATTTAATCAATTTCAAAATTAAATCGGCTAGATTTGGGTTACATGTAGCTAGACTAAATCGGAGCTAAATATAGCCAATACGTTTAAATCACGACTATTGCTTGTTGGGATAGTTACATTTCTGGGGAAGTGGATGTCAGGCTACGCCGTAGGTGTGGCATCGATTTGATGCAGAAGTATAAATCCTGCTTTATTTTGATAAAATTAACAGGGTGATATGCAGCCTGTGAAGAATCTTGTACTGAGTCTCCTTCAGTCTGTAACATGTAAACGTGGATCTGATCTAGTCTACAGCCGCCTGCCAATCATTTTCAATGTATTTCTTTACCGTTTAAATATCTGGCAACTCGTATGTGTCAGAGGAACTGAAAAGTGAATAAAATGATGATAAAAACTGTTTTACATTTTGGTCCTCCAATATAAAACTCACCAAATCACTCACTGCAAGGGAGGTTAACAGAAAAGGTTAGCGCAGAAGATTTAAAACACCCTGTTTGCAGATATCCAAAGAAATATTCCTTATCGGTAACATCAATGTCTCTGATGCTTGGAGAACAGCAAAATATAATATTAACCAGATGATTTCTTGACTTCACTGTTTTCCTGCATGAGATACTTAGTATGCCTTAGCAGCCACAGGAGATTAGCAGCACCCTGCAATGTTGCAGACGCCAGTGAATGCCAATCAGAGGTGAATATACCACCTGAAATTGTCTTTTGGAATAACAAAGTTTACCTTATCTCACCTCTCTGTTATTCCTACCCACAAACATTAAATAAAAGATGTTCTGAAGGGATTGTACAAAGTATCTTTGCTGTTAATGTTTGACAAAGGATCAAAAGTCTGCCAAGATAGGAGCAGCAGGGCAGAACCAACGTACCAGTCAACTGAGGTCTCGACAGTATCAGTCATGTCGAAGGAAAAACTGTTGTCCTACAGCGCAGCTATTCAGACAGCAAATGCCTCCCTCTATCGCTTCCCTCTCATCCCAGTCAGAGGAGTTCCTCTCACGTGCTTGATCGCCAACAACTGGGACTCCATCTGGGCTTTCCGTCCTGACCCCTCGGACCTCCTCATTGCCACCTACCCCAAAGCAGGTACTTCAGTTCAGGTCTAAATGGGTAATCAGTCTTGGACAGGACCTATTTGTGTTTTAATTGAAGTTATGTTATTGTTCGCACAGCTGGCACCATTTGTGAAATGTAACTAATTAGGTTGAATTAAGGGTGACTGGGACACAAGGTCAAAGCCTTGGGTGAATAGCCTTTGGCTTTCCTTGTTTGCGCATGGAAGGGCATAGAGGTGTGCTCTCTCTGCCTTAGGCTTTCCATGTAGGTGTGTGGAAGAGGCTTTCTGTGTAGGCCCGAGGAAAAGTAGAGAGGCCCCAGAATGGAGCCATACCGCCAAATATAATACTGCAAATGGAAAGAAAGTTTTCTTTGACTAAGGTGGTCCTGACTGAAACGTATTTATGGACAAGCTGGATTTTTTGTTGTGACAGTGAGAAAAGACAGCTTTATACTGTATGAATTGTGGACGGACTTAAAAAAAAAAGAGGCTTGGGGTCAGTTTCCTTAAAAGGGTATGTCACGCCCTCTTGAAATATGATATAACTTTCTTTCCTCCTCAAATGAATAGGTCACGTCTTTATTACAGAAATGTATCACTTGTTTGGCTATTTTTATTTATTTATTCATGGCCAAAAGCTTACAGAAGGAGTACAATCAAAAACCATCCAAATCACTCCTAATTCCCTTTACATTTACACAGGTGTTTGAGAAAATACAAATGTGAGTATTACGTGAGTATTTACATTTTCTGTTTCTTTATTCTTCTACTCATCTACATATCGGAGGAAAACATTTTACTTTTTGCTTCACTACTTTTTTTGCCCAAAAAATTATCTTAAAAAAAAGTACACAACTTTATTACTCAACAAAAGGACCACCATCCAGTGTTAATTTGTGTTTCTGGGACATAAGGGACCACATGGACCCAGGAGATAGTTGACCTGCTTCTTCACAACGGAGATGCTGAGGCCTGCAAACGAGCCCCCACACCTGAACGTTGTCCTTTCCTGGAACTCTTCTCCCCACCACCCATCCCCTCAGGTGTGTATTAAGGCGATTATGTTTATGTGCCAAGCCTCTTTTATTTGAACACACTCCTATTCTCTTAAAACGCAACTGCAGTGGTGCTAGTTTTAAGTTATTTATCTGATATCCATTCATCTCTGTGCAGATGGTGTGGGACTCATGTAGCATGAGCACAATGAGAATAAGAATAGGAATATACACACCACAACTACTTGGGCATGGCCAATCGTTGGCTTGGTTAGCCAGGGCCTTAAGACGACAAGAAATGAGCAGTTTCAGTGTTGTGGTATGTTCTAAAGCCTGATAGAAATCCTTCCAAGATACTATTCTCTTTTAGAAAGGAGTTTATGTTGCACTGAAACTACTTTTTACAAGTCTTGTACCAATGAATGAGAGGTTGCCTATCGACCTATAACTGGTCAGTGCATGTACATCTGGGTTTGGTTTCTCTAGTATTACAGCAGCTGTTTTGAAGGCACCTGGGGAGGTGCCTGAATTTCCAATCTTCAGGGCTTGACTTGAAACACTGTCGAGCGCCCTCTTAGAAATGTTGTAGGTACAAAGTCGATACATGGGGTCAAGGAGTTACACTGAGTGACAGTCTTGCAAAGCTCAGGTAATGTCACAAAACTCAATTTCCCCATGATTACATCTTTGTTTGATGGTTTACTGATGTCATCTGCCTTTACATCAGCAGTAATAACAGCTCTAACTGAAGTTATTGAGGTTTTTAAGAACAATGCAAGTTCTTCACTCTGTGATGCAGAGAACTGCAGACAGGTGGGGGCAGTGTTGAGTAGCTAATCTATTCTGGACTTCCCAGTATGGTTTGTGATTTTTTTGGGAAAGTAGGCTAATCCCTTTATGTCCGAGGTATTGCTTGTTATGGGCAGCCATGGCTTCTTTGTATATCTTACAGAGAACTGTAGTTTTCCTCCATTTTCTCTCAGCTGCTCAACAGATTCCCTTAAAGTCTCTTTAACACTCTTATTGTTTAACCATAGGGAGATTCGGTCAGTCTAATTTTTTTAGCCTTTAGTGGAGCAACAGTATTTAAGGCAGATGACAAAGTATTGTTTACATTTTCAACCATGTCATTTACAGAGCAGCCATAGCTGTATGACTCAGAGAACTCTGCTTCAGTCTTGCCATCTTGAAATGTCTTTTTTTAAACCAGAACTTCACCTTTAGTCTTTGTTGGGTTTAGTTTGGCACCAAAAAACACACAGTGATGGTCAGAGATAGGTAACTCCAATACTGAATCATTGTCCATGTTTAATCCTGCTGTTATTACAAAGTTAGAGTGTTACCAATACTGATGAGTGGCTTCATATACATGTTGGGTAAGTTCAAAGCTGTCAAGTAAATTAATTAACCAAGAAAGATTTGTTAGTCAATGATGTCACATTAAAAAGAGCTAATATTAGCTTTATAACATGGAATCTGAGATAGTGTTGAACAAAAGTTTAATTCTTTCATATGTACATATCTTTTTCTCTGAACTGATGTTTCAGGTATTGATCTTCTTAACACCATGGATCCTCCAAGAGTCATCAAGACACACCTTCCTTTTCAGCTGGTGCCTCCTGGATTTTGGGAAAACAAGTGCAAGGTGAGGCCCAAACTGTCAGATTCAACTGAGAGCAAAATTCTGAATTTTATTGCTTCACACTGCTAACAGGGTAAAAGGTTTATGGTACGATGCACATAAACAGGGTGAGAGGTTACAATGCAACTGCCTCATTAGGTTATCCAGTGTCTGCATTGTATTTATAATCCCTTTTTATATGTCCCTCTTGATTGTGTGTAAAGGTTATCTACGTAGCACGCAACGCCAAAGACAACCTGGTGAGCTACTACCACTTTGATCGTATGTATCTGACCCAGCCTGATCCTGGTCCCTGGGAGGGCTACATACCCAAGTTCATGCGAGGAGAGTGTACGTATTAAATCACATTCCTGGGTGTCATTTTACCTTTATTCAAACTGGTTGTTTCTGTTTGCACAAAGCTTCTAACTGAACTGAGATATTACAGCCACACTGGTACATTTACCTACGCCACCAGCCAGAAGTTCTGATGTGACTTCTACATTCCACTACACCTTAGAAGAATAAGTGTCCTTACCTAAGTGTTTTTCCCTGTGAGAAACTTATGCCTCAATGACCATGACAGGATTAACAGCACCCTGCGAGGCTGCAGAGTCAAGGTGATGCCAATCAGGAGAAAATGTTCCTTCAGAAGAATTTCAACTGGTGTATTTTTACATTCAATTTCTGCTGTGGTGTCTGACTGCCATCAATACACTAACTGCTACTTTACTGCCACATATACATTTTCAGTTTTTTGGTTTGGGACTTTGCTTCTGGAAGAGCTGACAACACTGCTGCTGCAAATGTTCAGGTTTTAAGTTTATTAAACTGTTAATATCAAAACCATTCCATTTTGTGAAGGGTTTACACATTGCCCACAATGGTTAGTCATTTGCTAATGTTTCACTGATTATTGTGAACTTCACCCACTGCATAATATAAAACAAACAAACAAAAAAAAGCTAAAAAGTGGGTAAGAGGCTGAAGGGTGGGACAGGGAGGGGTGGATGTGGACATGTGGGGCAAGAATTGATTTGAACACATTGATATTGTTAAATTTCATGACATAGATAAGTACCAGCTGGACGACCATGTCCGCTTCAGCCTTGCAAAGTTCAGGGCTGATTTAAAAACAGTGCTGATCAATTATCAACAACTTGAAATGCAGATTTTTTTTTGTTAGGAAATGTCCATATTAACACCAGCCCTGGTGTGTTTGATCACAGTACAGTCAGTTCATGTCAAATAATTTTTTAAGCACTGGAGAGGGACTTCTGTTTTTATTTTGGATTAGGGGAGGGGCATACAAATTTAAATGGTTGTATTTTGTATTTATATTTTGCTAATTTTTGAGGAAAGCATTCCTTCCAAACCTGCATGTTTTCTTTAAAAACTGCAAAAATTTTACCATTTATTATAGCAGGAAACTGTAAAAACATTAAGGCATTTGTAAAGACATTATGGTTGGATTTTTAAATTTCTGACAGTCCTTGAAAACATTATGTGGCACAAATGCTTCCATCAGGAAAAAAGCATAACCAAATCTGACCTTACAGTAGTGATATTACATCAAAATCACTTTATTCTATGTCGCATGTCAAATTTGGCCAAAAATAAAGAATTCCCACAAGCTTATCAGCCTGCACAACAATAGTGGAAAACCAAGGCTTTTTTCAACTCCAGGATTTCTCCTTCAACTTTTAACCTTTAACTTTCAAACATCAAAGGGTAAGTTTTAAAAACCTTATATTTTATAGTGGCAGGAGGGTCATGTATTTTTCACCAGTCACTCAGGGAGGCTCAATGAAAACTATTTGTAGCTCTGAAGGAGCAAAATAAAGAAAACAAAATGAAGTCACACCCCAGACACCCCCCTCCTCTGACAAGTTAAGAACAGTCCCCAAGACATCTGCAATCACAAATGTTTTTGGGGTTATTGCACTAATCCATCAAGCCAGCAGTTGTAAATATTAACAGGTTGTTGATAAATAGATTTTGGTCCAGAATCTCTGTAGCCCTATCCCAGAAGGTAAGTGGATTAACTGCTCATCAGTGAGTCTTCTTAATGCTCAGTATGTTTTGTCGCTACAGTGGCCTGGGGCTCCTGGTACGACCATGTGAAAAGTTACTGGGTGGAGAGAGAGAAGAAGAACATCCTTTACCTCTTCTATGAGGACATGAAAGAGGTACAGAGAAGATATGGACTCAGTATTACCAAAGCGTGTTGTATGTACACTTACCATCATATTTACTTCTCCAGAATCCTCGGCGTGAAGTGGAGCGCATCATGAGGTACCTGGACTTGTCAGTGTCTGATGAGGTCATCAGCCGGATTGTGGAGCTCACGTCCTTTAAGAACATGAAGGAGAACCCAATGACCAACTACTCCTTCATCCCAGCGACTGTTTTTGATCGCTCCATCTCCTCCTTCATGAGAAAAGGTGCATCAGTCTGCTCCTGGTCTGGTCCAGAAGGAAGATATTGATCAATATGATTACAAATGAGCAGAGCAGGACATGTACCAACTCTAAAGCCAGAACACCATGAATATCTCATGATGTAATACAGTTTAATCAACAGTATAGGTTTTCACAAAGACAGAACACACTGCTCTGTTACTGTATTGTTTTAGATTTCATATTCTCCCTGTCCTTCACATTATACAGTACGATGGTGTCCCCTAGAGGTTCCTGGACTTCCTGCCTTTACTTCTATATATATATATATATATGTGTGTATATATATATATATATATATATATATATATATACATATATATTTTTTAAGACTATGAGATTGATAATCTAACACTATTTTGGTAAAAGCGTCATCTTTTTTTCCCAATCACCCTCTACAACAATGTGCCCTAAAATGTGAAGCTTTACTGTTTTTCTTCATCTTGTAGTATAGAAATCTGATGCAGGCCGTCCTGAGGTTTTATTTGATAATCATGAAATGTAAACAACTGCTGTGCTTGCCTTTTTTCAGTGGTTTACTCATACAACCTATCGTTTCAAAGCTATGCTCCTTACAGTTTGATGCGAACCTTTTCAAGATACAACCACCACTGCAGGTTCAATAAACACTTCTGTCAGATAAAAACCCCCAACAAAAAACAGATATAACTCACCTATGAAGCATTATTTTGATCCACCAATCCATATCATGCTGATAAAAATGGTGCTCATGTTGTCTTCATGCACTCCCAGTGGTCAGGACGATCTATATCCAGTGAAACATTAAGTCCGAAAACATTATTATGTCCATAGATTTCTACAAACTGTCACTGCATTGTTTCAAATGTTAGTATTTGTTTGTGTATTTACCATAATTTCTTCCATTCGCGTTTAAGTATGCCAACTCCTTGCTACCCAAATGAACAAAAACTCCTGACCTTTTGATTGACACCTCACTTGAGCCAGTGGGAGCTTCCAATGCTGTTGCTATGGCCTCAATAGCCAAAGAGGGTCTGTGTTGAAGGAAGGTGCACCCCTCACACTTCCTGGTCTCATAGCCAATCAATAGATAGTGATTGGTCTGATGGTTTATGAGTCTTGTAGTCAATGACACTCTGGAAATCTGGTTTCAACTCCTGACATGAGAAAATAAGCACGCTAAAATTAGTTTCTGTTTCAACAAAAAAGATCTTACTCCTAAACAAAAAGGTCTGTCTGTGTAGGAATCTTTTCAATAATGATGTAGGACACTTATAATAACAATCTGAGCCTACTGAAGTTATCTTTTAAAGAACTTTTGTCTAGTGACTGATTTATATATCTAACACTGTCGTATTCAGTTCTGCATTTTTTTGTCTTTACAGGTGAAGTCGGTGACTGGAAAAATCATTTCACAACCGAGCAATCAAAGACGTTTGATGAAGATTATGAAAAGCAAATGAAGGGAGTCAACATACCATTCAGGACCCTCATCTAACCAATTTTGGGTTTCCAAACTGACACAGCTCTGCAAACAACAGAACAATGAACCAAAGACCAATGAACTGACACTGCAGCACTCAGAAGGCAAGAATACTGTCAGAAAATCTGACATGTGCTAAACACTAAAACAGAACATAAATAAAAATAATTTGAGCCTGGATGTTAAACACTGTAATCATACAATGAAAGGATCAATAAAAATGTGCTCCACAAAACAAGTGAGTTGGTAGTCATCACTTGATTGCCGCTCATCATGTAAACAATATATAAGACCAAAAGTGTTGTGACTGAGTGGACATGCCCATTTTATGTCATGAGACCTCCACCAGAGTCTGCATTGAGATCGCAAAATGAGTTTCCTCTGTGGGGTGGCCTGGTTTAGCCTTTGAGATAGGGTGAGGAGCTGTTGCTCCTTATGACCATGTTGAGCTGATTCAGGCATCTGATCAGGATGCTTCCTGTTAGAGGTTTTACGGGCATGTTCAACTAGTGGGAGGCCCTGAACATGCTAACGAGATTATACATCTCATCTGGCCCAAGAATGCTTCAGATTCCCCCAGGAAGAGCAGGAAAGCGTTCCATCTGGAAAATAACTTGCACTCCCAATGAAATGTTTCTTGGAAATAGCAAATGTCTCCTTTATGTGCTGGGAGGACAGTAGAGCATTATCTTTATAAGTTGATTTATTGATCCCACTGTTTTTCTCCTCAAGTAGGAGATGAGCGACTCCCTTCAAGGTTGCAGACTCCAGTGAATACAACACCTGAAATTCCCTTTTGGGATAATAAGGTCAACCTTATATCACCTTTCTGTTATTCTTACCTACAAACTTAAAATTATGCTCTGAAATTTAAGAAAGGTAAACAGGACACCTAAGTTTTCTCGGAGACACGGTTTGGAGGGAATGTACAAAATATTATTGGGTAAAATAAATAAAGGATAAATGCAAAAACAAAAGAAATAGAGATAAAAGTAGTAAAACATTGAATCACATGTTCAAATCATACACAAGTTGCAGGCTAAAACTACTCTATCATGAATCATACATATTGCTTTTGCTTGACCCTCCCTCATCTTCCAAACACCATGCTCATAGTTTATAATGCATTTTTCCTGCCAAATATTTGAAGCCTCAAAACTTTCACTGCCTTGGAAAAGCAGGAAACATTATGCAACTGTTTTCACAAGCTGAGTAAACTGACCTTTATGTCTAAACAGGGTTCAACGCTAAGGTTTTTTTTCACTTGCCCGGTCGGGCAAGTAGATCTCTGACCAACAAGTCAGTTTTTACTTGCCCTATAAAAACTGTTTAATTTAAGCGGCTATCAAATAACAAAGACTGCAGTTATTTTTATGTTATGTAATCTTTATTCACACTGTATTTATTAATTAAAACAACATATGTCATGTATTGTAGCTTAATTCCTACACAAATATGACAGTGTCAGGGCTTAAAGTGAAAAATTTGTCAATCATTCTCCGTCTATAATTTTGCGCCCTACTTGAGCCATGCCCACCTCTATTTATTTTTCACCCCTCTCTCCAGTTCTGCTGTATTAACACCGGGTTTAATATATTTTGCTTCCATCTCTCTGCCCTGCTCTACTCTACTTCAACGCTACTTAGCTCTCTCTCTACTCTACCAGTAGACTACCACATCCACCTGTTGCACAAAACGCACACAGCAGTGTTTCCCCTAGGATGGAGTTGTAGCAGCGGAGGTGAAGCACACGCATGAAAAATAATTTTCACATGCGTGAAACTTTTTTGTATGCTTGCAAAGCACAGCCTGCTGGGATGTTTCTATGTATCTACTGGCACCAGAAGGGCTCTTTAGGACTAAGTACATACAGTACATGTGTGCACAGTATGAGCAGGTGAAATGTCTGTCTAGCTTACATATGAGGTGTCTCAAGATTTAAGAACATACAATTTTATTGAATATAATAAAAGTAAAAAGTCACTTGACATGCTGCTGTTTTGTGCTATGACCTATTCAAGTGTTAGAAGTTGTTATTTACGTGACAACGCCTGAACGCAACACAAGCTCAGCATGAGTGCCGCGCTGCTGTGCGAGCAGTGTGTTTGTCTGTGCGTGACAGCAGTCTGATGGTTATTTACACAGTGTCCATAACAATAACTTTGTCAGCTGACAAACTGCACCGGGCTCGGGGTCAGGTTTGGTCAGGAAAATGCGGCCCGAGCCGCTCTAGCGTGCTCACCTGTGTGTGTGGCGGAACTCCGCCGTGCGCGATACAGAGAGCAGAGGAGAATTGTTAACGCGTGACCATGTAGAGACAGAAATGACACGATGGCATAACACCATAAATAGTATATTGTTATGTTATTATATGAAGCGTCCGTCGCGCAAAATAATATCAATGGGGGCTGTGGGCAGGACATTGTTACACAGCTGTGCCTGTGACTTCAGGCAGAGAGACCGCTGCATCAGAGCCGAAGGAGCACGTTTTAAAATACATTTATTTTATCAATTAGTTATTAACTTTTACTATTTTTAGCAACTTGCCCGATCGGGCAAGTGAGTTGTTAGTTTACATGCCCGACCGTGAGTTTTACTTGCCCCGGGCAATCGGGCAATCCTTATTGTTGAGCCCTGCTAAAATAAGAGGAATAAAAATTACGGCTATTTTCAAAATTCATACATAATATTCCTATGGTCTACAAAAAAGTTAACATGGGCAATTGTTTCCCCAAATCCAGAAACTAGAGAGCTAAAACTAACTTCAGCTTAGGACTGAATGTTACAATCCCTTGATGCACATACTTGAGACGATGTGTGGGAGTAATAGTGCTGTCTGGGAGTTTCCGAGTGGGACCCAAAGGTTTAAGGTTAAATGGACAGAAAAGTAGGAAAGAGCAAAGGTAGGTAGACAGTTAGAGTGAGCATAGGGAAGGCAGAGCCAAGGAGAGACGTCTGTGCAGAATGAACTCTACACCGCCAGACCGGGCTGTACACTGTACCTCCCCCTACTCCCTTATTGTGATGAGGGAAGAGAGAAGAAACTAACAGGAGAAAAACGTACCTAACTTTAATCGAGGTGGAGTTAAACTGGTCGATTGTTGTTGACCTTCTAGCACTTGTGAGTGAAAGTTGGAGCCATGCTGGGGGAGTGGGTGGAAGTTTAGGGAGGGTAAAATCTTCATTAGAGTCATCAAGTGGGTAGTGCCCTTCACTGGTGTTTCCATGATAGGCCCAAAACACCCCCAGAGGGCTCACTGGCATCACCTGTGTGTGCATCTCCCCCCCCCCCTAAAAAAAAAAGTTTAGTTAGCTTTACCATTCACAAAATGATGAATAGCATTAGATCTGAGCAGAAAATCAACGTTTAGCATTGTGGCTTGCACTCTGATCACCTGAGAGGATGAACAGTGTGTTAGTGGTGAGTGTGGTGACGGTGAAGTGTTCCCTTCTGCCTCTATGCAGATTCTGTGAAGCTTCCATTTCATTCACCATTACTCACTGTCTTGGTTCCATACTGTTGTTTTATTAATGGATGTTATTTGACTGCTGTTTTAGTTCCAGAAATACTCACCTACTCTGTTGGAGCTGCAACAGCCAAGAGAAAACCCTGAGCTCCCAGATGTGAGTGTGTGGACCTGCACAGATTTACATCAGGATGTTACAGAAGCATGTGTTTACCGACTTAAGTTGCATCTATTAGCTCAGTGGGTAGAGCAGGCACACCATTAACAAAGGCAATGTCCTTGCTGCAGCTGCTGTGGGCTCGATTTCAGCGTGGACCCAATCGGCATACCTGGGTCCCCACCCCTGCCTACTGCCTAATTCACAATGCACCTGACCCCGATGGCCCAAGGCGCAGCCACCAGACACTCGCCCAGCCAGCTCCCCTCTCAGGTCTGGCTCCAAAAGGGGGTCCTACTTTCCCTTTACCAGGCAAAGCACTCTAGCTCTTATTCGGCTGATTCATTAAGGTTTCTTGAAATGCTCTTAGTTTGACCCCTCCTGGGACCACTTTGCCTTGGAAGACTCTACCAGTAGCTGTGCGCCCTGGACAACACAACTCCCAGGCTCACAAGGACAGGTACATCAAACATATTCTCACTCTGAACTTGTCACAAATCGCTGCTTGGTCATGGACTTTCCACATTGACATCTGACGTGCAAGGTAGTCTGAGTGAGTCTTTTGTTGACTTTCTGGGATGCCGGTAAACTTCTGCCAGCAACATGCATTGTGCCATTTCAAAATACACTTAGACTCTCACAGGAAATGTACAGTTTGCATACAGTCTTTTTCAAAATAGACATATTACATGGGTGCAAAACTGCGAATTAATTTTTTTTCCCTTCAACGACAAACACACGTGGCTTCATTTAGCCAGCACATGCATGTGCTTTGGTTTAGGCAACAAAAGCAAGTTGTTGGGTTTAGAAAAAATAACAGGGTTTGGATTTACATTCATATGGGAAGCAAACACCTGACTCCTGGGTGAAAGTCAGTGATTGCTGGACCCATTCACCACCCTCCCACCTACCTTACTCGGACTTTACACTCATTAACTAAAGTCGAATACACTGACTAAGAGCTTTGTGAAATTGAAGAACGGAGGAGGATAGAGAGAGAGGGGCACAACAGGTAGAGGACAAGAGAGGAGGAATGGCTGCTGCAAGGCTGCGTAGCTCTGGAGATTGGTGGCGTACCTGTCGATGCCGTGCCCCAGTGCCCACAGAAGAGGAATGCCTCTGTTGCAAGGAATGGGACCGGTTGCAGCCTTATTTTCAAGGTCTGGATGTGACCGAGGACGAGACACCTCCACCTGGAGTAGTATCCAGCTGGGCTTTATCTAGAGCTCGCCATATTTCAGCCGCGCTTTGGAAAGCAGAGCTAAATGTAAACAAACATGGCACCACACCGGTAAGGTAAGACAACACATTTACATGTCGTTTTCTATATGTTCTCTGACATTTATCCTAACGATATGAGGCGGTCTTTGTGGAAAAAAAAGCTTGTTTAGTGGACTAACTTTGCACTTGAAGTATGCCTGTTCACTTACGTTTTAACAGGTCTGATGCTACTATGAGCCCCGGCTGTATCTAGGCTAACGGCTAACATGCTAACTATTATTTTTATGTCACTAGTCACTTGAAACAAATTTAGGACGATAGGAGACAGGTTGAAATAAACCGAAATTTCCCTTTAAAGTTTACTTTCACTAATTACATATCAATACCTTGTGAACAGTATTGCTGTATCAGCATACTTCATGCCCAGTTCAGAGTAAAATTCAATGAGCTGATCCATACTGGGACGATGGTTTTGGAGCAAATGAGTGGAAATAGACAGGACTCTGAAGGAATGGAAAAAGAAAATTATTGCAATAAATACATAAATCTTGCTGTGACCTTTAAGGGGCTTCGTATTCTTCATCTTCACACACACGCCCATACATACACATTCATGCACTTCTCTCTTTGTGAGGACCCCTATTGACATAATGCATTCCCTAGCCCCTTACCCTAACCTTAACCATGACAACTAAATGCCCAACCATAACCCTTAGCCTAAACCTAATTCTAACCTGAACCCTAAAGCCAAGTCTTAAACCTGAAACAGGCCTTTGAGAAAGTGAGGATGGGCCAAAATGTCCTCACTTTGCAAGACTGTCCTCACACTGTCGCAAAAATACCTTTTTTGGTCCTCACTGTGTAGCATGTACAAGTACTCACACACACCCACACAAAAATGAATTTGCTCAAAATAAAGCTTTAGATTGCTTTAAACTTTAAATAAGTTTCAAGATTGTAAATTGCTTTTGGTAACTTGAGCTGAGCTTATTTTCAGTGTAAATATTGTTTCTACCTTAAGCAGGATATTGACTGTGGAAATCCTGGAATGCATATTCTAAACAAACTGAGCTGAGCGCTCTGGACACAAATGAATTCACGCCCAGCAGACATGCATCAAATAGCTGCATATCTACACGTAAAATGTTTCTACTTTGCACGCTTAGGAAATCTAAAATGAACAGCAGACATTTCTCAAGCTCTTTTCTTTTTACTGCCATTTGGTCATCTGTTTTTGTTTACTTTAAAAGTGTGGGTCCAAAGGTAGGTTTCAGCTGGAGAGTGTCAACAGCTTTTCTGTCTCTCAGTAAAAGATTAGTTTTTCTTTATAAGAGATATTGACAAAAACTCAAGCCTCATTGTTGAGCTCTCAGATGAAATGTTCGATCTTTTGCACTGAGTGTGTGATTATAGTTTGCCTCCCTGTGGTAGGGCTCTTTTAAGACCCTCCCATATCCCTTCCTCAAATTACAGAGCAAGCAGTTGAGATAGTATTGTGAGCAAAAGTGGAATTCATAGGCAACTGGGAATGTTACATAAGGGCACTTTAGTGTTCGTCGGCTTGTACAAGTTCCAGTGATCGCAGACAGACAAGAACCTGGTGCATGCACTCAGACAGCCAGGTTACAAAGATAGAAAGAGGGTGAAAAGAAACCCATTTCAGAGTGACTGAAGCACTTAGGCTTCAGCTGGGAGTTCAGAACGGATTGTTTTTCAGATGTTGGAGAGGATTCAGGCTGAAATTCAGACGAAATCAAGGAAGGAGACCAAAACAATAGGCTCCCGACCAGCAGACAAGGAAACAAGGAAGAGATCATGACAGAGTGACGAGGTTGTCGACACAGTGAACAAGCAGGAAGAGATTTGCAGACAGCTGGAATTTATGGTGTACAAAAAGCAAATCAACTGTGAATGTTTGACAAAGGACTGAAAGCCAACTGAGAGAGTGTCTGCTGGGGAGAACCACCTGACCGGCCTTGTCCAAGGCATTTCGCAATTAAATTTTGGATTCTGGTTTTTGGTTTCCTCAACTGAGCTTTTGACAATATTAGTCATGTCGGAAGAAAAAGAGTTTTCCTACAGTGCAGCCATTCAGGAAGCACATGCCTCCATCACTCGCTTCCCTCTCATCCCAGTGAAAGGTGTTCCTCTCATGAACTACATCGCCAACAACTGGGACTCCATCTGGGCTTTCCGTCCTGACCCCTCGGACCTCCTAATCGCCACCTACCCCAAAGCAGGTAGTTCAATTCAGGTTCTGTTAGTGCTTACACAGTTGTCATCAGTGGTAAACTGTAACTGAATACATTAACACAAGTACACATTTAAGTATTACTTAAGTATTTACATTTTCTGCTACTTTATACTTCCATTCATCTATTTATCAGAGTGAACAATGGCACTTTTTACTCCACTACATTTATTTGACATCTTACGTTGTTTTCAGATGAAGAGTTTGCATAAAAAAACATATAACCTTATAAAACTTAGCATGATGTCATTGTAAGGATACTGGGGGCAGCCTTTTGTGTTGTATCTTGATGCAGGGAGTTGGTGGTTAGGTTTAGGTTTGGTTTAGGCAACAGAGCTACTTGGTCAGAATTAGGAAAAGATAGTCTATTATTATTGTTATTGAGAATTTGCTGCTTGTGAACTAACCCTTTAAAATGCCAAAGTCACACAATACCACAAACAAACTAACTAATCGAGGCAGCAGCTCCTGGGGTAAAATTACACTTTTTGTCAATGGAGTCTGGCTTTGAAAAAAATCATTGATAAGTTTTAGTTCAGTTCCCTGTCATAAACGTTGTGTATTTGGCAAATACTGAGCATATAACTGGATCAATAGACTTGGATTGTTGCATAGGAGTTTGCAAATGGTTGTTTTGATATATATATGGTACATAACTTACATACTAATAGTCATTTGGGGGTACTTTAAGTGAAGTACAAGAATGCTTCTTCCACCATTGCAATAAAGCTACTATGACAGATGGGATATCTACATGAACTGGTAAGATTTAATACTGTACATGCAAAAGTATCCAATTCATTCAACTCAGTGTTAATTTGTGTTTCTGGGACATAAGGGACTACATGGACCCAGGAGATAGTTGACCTGCTTCTTCACAACGGAGATGCTGAGGCCTGCAAACGAGCCCCCACACCTGTCCGCAGTCCTTTCCTAGAGATCTTCTCCCCACCGCCCATCCCCTCAGGTGTGTATTAAGGTGGTTATGTTTGTATGTGTGTAATCGTGCCAGTTTAAATTCAGTCTATCTTGAAGTGCACTTTGTAGCCACAAGTATTTGCTGAAATTAAAGATATTATTTCCATATCCTCCTGAGACCCTGCATCCTATACTTTATTCTGCTAAACTTAGTCTGCAGCCGATCCCGACACAAAAGTGGACAAGGTGCAAAATCTGATCAAATTTTATGGTTGAAACATGTTTATTTATGCTTAATAACATCTGTAGTTTAATATTGCGTACAAATTTTATATATCTTTAACTTATATATTTTTAGATATTTTACAAATATTGCGGTCCTCATTTGAGGACCCTGGAGCTTTACTATTGTATTATAGCAGTATTTTATGTCGGCCAGTTAGGTGTGACAGACTGTTCCTAGAGACAAAAAGGACGTTCCTAATTTGGAGTGTGAAGCAAAGAAAATTATTTTTTAATTATTTATTTATTTTTATATTTTTTGGGGGGCATTTTTTGCCTTTATAGATAGGATAGCTAATCGTGAAGGGGGGAGAGAGAGAGGGAATGACATGCAGCAAAGGGCCACAGGCTGGAGTCGAACCCGGGCCACTGCAGCAACAGCCTTATACATGGGGCGCCTGCTCTATCCACTGAGCCATCGACGCCCCAAGCAAGGAAAATTTATACAGAATTATAAAATGAACAAATCACAAGACTTTTAGAAATGTTGTATTATTTGCAATTTTGTTTTCACAGCTATGTTCAGATGTTACAATGCACAGTTTTAAACAGAGGGTTACAAAATGTTTTGTTGTTGAACAAAATGTTCAGGCATTGAAATATACAGTTTTTTACTGCATTACACACACATGTGACTACTAAAAATAAACCCATTGTCCTCATATGCAGACATCCTTTTAGTTTTTTATACTTTTTAAAATACTTTTTGTACTACTAATCCCAAATAGATAGAAGAAATTGAAAGTGCATACCAAACAAAAGCTGGGGTCTCAGGAGGATATACTGACTGTGCCACGCATGCCATCACTCACAAATTCCTAAAGGAATGTTTTCATAACGGCTTGTTTCACCAGCTAATCAGGGTCAACTAGTTATTAACCAGTGCATTGTACATTTTACTTAGCACCAAAACGCTGCCCGAGTGACAGACTCAAGCGGAAAGATGGCAGTTTTGGCTAGTGACCAAACTGAAAATTGTCTGGTGGGATTAGTGGCCTATTTTTTTCCGTAGTCTGCTGTAAGTGAAACCTGATTTGGCTAAGATTTACCAAAGTTGAGCATTACCCATGCTGTCTCTTGCTGTCTTGAATTATTTATCTATTTTTGTAATGCAAAAAATACCCCCCCCCCCCAAAAAAAAAAATACTTGTAAATGGGTGACTCGCCAACAATAATGACCTACCTCCACATTCTTCAGATGTGGAGCATCTTTAGCATTTATTTTTCTTTCTAACCAAACACTTTGATTTCCGCCATCTCCTCAGTTGGTTACTTCCCTTGCTAAATGCTTGTTTATGCTAGCTAGTTAGCTAGTTGCTTATTTGAATCTTTTTGCCATTTGGTGCTGGACAGAATGTGGTTGGAGTTATTTTTCTCGAAATGGTCATCTACAGGGGTTGATAGGAGCAGCTTGGACTTAAAAACATAGAGTGCCCCAGGGATGACGTTTTTTCTGTGCAATGAAGCAGAAGTTAGCAACATACTGGCTCCCTTGTCAAAAAGCCTATGGGAATTTTCCATTGGGTTTTGGATTAATGCAGAAAATAAGCTCAGTGGCAAATAAACATTTATAATACTTACATGTTTTGTGGAGCATAATTCCACAAATTAAATTTGAATTAAATAATGAATGATCAGAAAAGAGCACACACACAGCAATAACAGCACTCCCTCATGTGGTATTGCTTAAGAAAATATGTTTATGTGCGTTCTTGCGGAGTGTTAGAGGAGAGGCCCAATACTCCTATGTCTGTAGGGTAAGTGTGAGCTACAGTTAGCAGTCAGTTAGCCTAGCTTAGCATAAAGAAAGCTGGACACAAGGCTATCCTGTCTCTGTCTGAATGTAAGAAAATCCTCCTGCTAACTAAGCTAGCAAATTATCAAATTATCTTTATGCTAAGCTAAGCTAACAGGCTGTTGGCTGTAGCTTCTATATAGTCTACAAACGTGAGAATGGTATTAATCCTATCTACAGTGACTCTCAACAAGAAGGCTAGCACACATCCCAAAATTTTTATGTGCTGCTGAAAATGTGAATGATCAGACAACAAAAAAACAAGATAGAAGAGGCTAAGACAGAGTTAGATGGCAGGCAAACTCTCAGATTGTGGTACTATGGGTGACTGTGCACTAAATCTTTGTTTGCTACCCTACAAGATAACTGACCTTTGCCAACAATTTGGCTGCAGCAAACACACCCTACTGTGCACCAAGTCCTCTTTTATTTGAACACACTGTATTAAATAACATTATTTCACCTCCCAGGTATTTCTTCTAAAGCTAAAAAGAAACTAAAATGGTGCTAGTTTTAAGTCAGTTGACGCTCTCTTGCTCTTACATATGCAATACCCTTTTCCTGAACTTAGGTATTGATCTTCTTAACACCATGGATCCTCCAAGAATCATCAAGACACATCTTGCTTTTAAGTTGGTGCCTCCTGGATTTTGGGAAAACAAGTGCAAGGTGAGGCCCAAACTGTCAGATTCAACTGAGAGCAAAATCCTGAATTTTATTGCTTCACACTGCTAACAGGGTAAAAGGTTTATGGTACGATGCACATAAACAGGGTGAGAGGTTACAATGCAACTGCCTCATTAAGTTATCCAGTGTCTGCATTGTATTTATAATCCCTTTTTATATGTCCCTCTTGATTGTGTGTAAAGGTTATCTACGTAGCACGCAACGCCAAAGACAACCTGGTGAGCTACTACCACTTTGATCGTATGTATCTGACCCAGCCTGATCCTGGTCCCTGGGAGGGCTACATACCCAAGTTCATGCGAGGATAGTGTACGTATTAAATCACATTCCTGGGTGTCATTTTACCTTTATTCAAACTGGTTGTTTCTGTTTGCACAAAGCTTCTAACTGAACTGAGATATTACAGCCACACAGGTACATTTACCAACGCCACCAGCCAGAAGTTCTGATGTATTTTAAATTATTTAAATATGATAAAGTGGCTGGTGACTTCTGTAATCCATGACGCCTTAGAAGAATAAGTGTCCTTACCTCAGTGTTTTTCCCTGTGAGAACCTTATGCCTCAATGACCATGACAGGATTAACAGCACCCTGCGAGGCTGCAGAGTCAAGGTGATGCCAATCAGGAGAAAATGTTGCTTTAGACCTACAAAAGAATTTTAACTGGTTTATTTTTACGCTTGATGTGTGGGGCAGGAGGTCATTAGAAGGCCTTTACATTCTTAAATTTAATGATATAGATAAGTACCAACCAGTCAGCTCTATGTCAGCATTAGCTTCCCAAGGGTTGGTGCTGTTTTGAAACAGTAGATGGCGTGTGGAGCCATTTTCAATCCATGAAATATCAGGTTTAAATGTGGTCATTAGTCACTGAATTTAATTTACAGCAAAAAACACATTTTAGTGCTGTAATAAGAACATATTTTGGGTTGCCAAATTGCTGAAAAAAAATCCCTTCAACTAGTGTGTAACCTACTGCAGCATGACACATGTTTTGATGTTTTGTTTGATGTTTAATTCATCAGGAAGGTTGTTCTGATGGATTATTTAAAGCACGTCCTGTCCAGACAAGGGTTTCACAACATCTGGAACAATTTATTAACAACTTAAAATCATTTACAGATGGAGACCTTGTGGAATGTTGGAAAAAAATGTTTCTTGGCTGCATCCTAACAAAATCTTCCACCAGACATAAGCACCTGGCAAAGTACCCAAAACTTCCTCTGTGGTAGCTCCTGCTACAGGAGGTGTCTCCAGGGGTCCGTTTCACAAAGCAGGTTTAGTGAAAACTCAGAGTCTGTTAACCCTGAAATGAGGGAAACTCTGAGTTTTCCGTTTCAAAAAGGGAGGTAACTCAAATCAGAGAAAGAGGAGTAACTCTAGCCTGTTTCAGAGAGAGAGGTAACTTAAGCTCTCGGTCAGTTACCGTTGTAACAGACTCTATGAACCTAACCTGGTCGGGACCAGGTTTTTCTCAATGAACCTCGAGTTTCTCTCTGTCTCCGCCCTCTTTCAGAGCCACACTCTCCATCTGATTTCCTCATTCATTCAGTCAGCAGGCGAGTTTTGGCGTAGCCTTGTCCTGCCGTCCGTCATTTTAAAAAATCATTAAAAAATCAGAGGATATTAAAAGTCCATTAGGCACAGTGGGTGGCGACTTTTTTCACTAACATGGCATGTCCTTTTGATAACGATCCCTTGGATGAAGGTGCAGCATTTCTGCGCAGAGAATTAAAATTCGTCAGGAGATGGTTATCAGACCGCGCATAGATGTTCTTGCATTTCCAGACAATTATCTTTTTGAGCTGTACCGTTTCACATCACAGTCCATCATCTACACAACCTAATCCGTCCTTACATTTGCAGCATTACCAGTCGTAGTCATGCTCTCACGTCCCAGCAGATATTGTGTGTTGCGCTGCGTTTCTTTGCAAATGGAAGTTTTTTTGTACAGTGTCGGAGATGCTGAGCACTTGAGTAAGGCAACTGTATGCAGGGCGGTCAGAAAAGTGTGCTCGTTTTACGGCATCTGCCTTCTTTCTGTTGGCTGAGTAGAAGTCTGTGTTAGTTTAAATAGGCTTAATTATTTAACAGAACATGATATAGATGAGAAGACATTTATGTGTGTGAAAACAGCATTATGTTGGGGATAAAACAACTGCACAGTCAAACAGCCACTTAATATTTACTTTACAATGTAAAACATGATCAAACTGAGGTACCCCCATGAGATTATGCTGAGCCTTACCTGTTTGAACAATGTTTTTATATTTCATCCTAAACTGCTGCCAAGTGCGCTTCTCCCCCGCGGGATTGCACCTAAATGAAATAAATTAATAGGCTACCATTCAAGCAGTTTTCCCCTGTAATATTATTGTGATTGCAAAGGACTACATTTAAACTTACGCATTGACCCGAGCAGCAATGTTCTCCCATGCCGTCTCCCTCTCTTTTGCAGCTGCAGCTGTGTTGCACTTCTTTTTGAAAACGTGTGCAAACTCGCCGTATGAGCGCAGATTTCTAAGTCTAGTGGGGTGAAAAACGCAGCCCTCCTCTTCCCCGTTGCCATGGTGACTCGTCGAATCGGTGCTCCATTGATGCTGGCTTTTTATAGTTGTGGTGCACGCCCTTAACTCCTGGTGAAACTACTCCGAGTTTATTAAACTGATTCAAATCAGCTGTTCTGCAGCCGGAAACTCAGAGTTTCCTATCTCAGAGTAGATCAACTCAGAGTTCAGGATTAGACTCAGAGTTTGTTGAACCTGCTTTGTGAAACGGACCCCAGGAAGACATTTTGCTACACACATTCCAAATTCACAACAGAAGAGACTTGATGATCACTGAAATTAGGTGGGGATATATTGATATTGGTATCGGTTATTGGCCAAATTAGTTGTTTTATATTGGCAAAAAAACAAAAAAGTCTAATATCCTGCATCCCTAACAAAGTGTGTTGTCCATAGCGATGACAAGATTCAAAGCTGAAGCAGTTGTTGATCACTGTTGGCTGGTTAAAGGTTCAGTGTGTAAGATTTAGGTGGATATGTTGTTTTCTTAAGTGTATAATCACATGAAAATAAGAACCATTGTGTCTTCATTACCTCAGAATGAACCGTTGATATCTACATAGGGAGCAGGTCCTCGTCTAAGGAGATTGCCATGTTGCACTACGATGTTTCTACAGTGGCCCAGAACAGACAAACTAAACATTGACTCTAGATAGGGCCATTCGCTTTTAACGTCAGCCTCCACAATGAACAGAGTTGGAAAAATGCTAATCTTTTAAACATGAAACTGCTTTAGTCAGTGTTTTCACCAGTTATAATCACCTGGTCTGTTTGTTTTGGAGAGGACAAGACCTCTGCAGATAATATGGCACCTGGTAAAATCCTCTCAAATGTCTGGATCTTAAGATATCTGAGGCAAGAGGTGAGCATAGATTAGCAGGTGCTGGGTTGGCGAGCTGTCACCGACATGCTGATCATGGTAGGAGAAACACTGATTTGTAACATGGAACTACTTTAGTCAATTTAAAAAAAAATTATTTACCACTTTTAATCACCTGGTCCGTTTGTTTGGAGAGGAAGAGACCTCTGTGGATAATTTGGCTCCCAGTAAAAACCTCCTGAACCCTGAACACTTAAAGAATTCTAACAGGAAAAGTTCAGCTGGTTGCAATCTGCAACCTTCACCACTAGATGCCACAAAATCACCCAAATTCTTACACACTGGACTTTTAAGAGAAGTGGCTAGTCGGCAGTCGATGATGGTATAAAGTTGAGTGCGCATGATGAGCCTGCAGTGGCTTTAATCAATATTTTTATGGCAACGATGGTAGCATGACTACTTGTATGTGAAAGGTGATCGTAGTGGTGAACCTACAGAAAATGATCACAGAATCAGCCAACAAAACACATGAGGACATCTGCAATTATTAATGTTTTATAGGGGTTGTTGCACTAATCCATCAAGCCAGCAGCTGTAAATATTAACAGGTTGTTAATAAATAGATTTTGATCCAGAGTCTCTGTAGCCCTGTCCCAGAAGGTAAATGGATTAACTGCTCATCAGTGAGTCTTCTTGATGAATTAAAGAGCTCACTAGAGCCAGAGGGGTTTTTCACAATCTGGCAACCCAAAACTCACTGACTTATATTTGATCTATAATCAGTACATTCATTACGACTATACAAATATTTACAACTTATAAACCCTTTAAATGTTGACATTAACCCTGTTATTGGACTGAGAGTGATGTTACCATGAAAGATGCTCAGTAACTTTTGTCTCTACAGTGGCCTGGGGCTCCTGGTACGACCATGTGAAAGGTTACTGGGTGGAGAGAGAGAAGAAGAACATCCTTTACCTCTTCTATGAGGACATGAAAGAGGTACAGAGAACATGTGGACTCAGTATTACCAAAGCATATTGAACGTACTCTTACCATCATATTTACTTCTCCAGAATCCTCGGCGTGAAGTGGAGCGCATCATGAGGTACCTGGACTTGTCAGTGTCTGATGAGGTCATCAGCCAGATCGTGGAGCTCACATCCTTTAAGAACATGAAGGAGAACCCAATGACCAACTATTCCTGCATCCCAACACCTGTGTTTGATCACTCCATCTCCCCCTTCATGAGAAAAGGTGCATCAGTCTGCTCCTGGTCTGGTCCAGAAGGAAGATATTGATCAAAATTAGTACAAATGAGCAGAGCAGGACATGTACCAATTCTAAAGCCAGAGCTCCATGAATATCTCATGATGTATTGCAGTTAAATCAACAGTATAAGCTTCACAAAGACAGAACACACTGCTCTTTGTCCTTCACATTATACTGTATAGTGGCGCCCCCTAGAGGTTCCTGGATTTTGTTTTTGCTTTGCTTCTGTTTTCTTCTTCTTTTTCGATAATATTTCAAGCTAAATACCCCAAATCTCCTCAAATGTGAAGATTCTGAGCATTTTTTATTTTTATTTTTTACAGTTTTCTGAAATTTCATTTATAACTAATCAGCCAGAAAAATGTATCGTTAGTTACGGCTCTACTGTTCAACAATATGCTGCTCTATGCTTTTAGGGAAAATAATTTAAAGGGTAAGTTCAGTATTTTCCAACCTGGGGTCTCATTTATAAATATTGCGTACGCACAAAACGAGGCCTGAAAGAGGCATACACCACTTCCCACACAAAAGCTGTGATCTATAAAAACAGACTTCATAGGAGAAACTTTGACCCGTGCTTACAAACATTTTGGAGATGGGATAATGGCAACGCAGATGGTGAGGTGGAAGCCTGATTGTAGAAACTGTCGAATATTTTTGGTGTGCACACCACTTTTGGCTGTTTAACTGACTAATAGGAATAATTCTGGAGCCTGGTCCAGTATCCAATGAGAAACAGGCTGCTCCCTGCACTGTCAATTTACATCCACTAAAAGTGCTGTTTTTTGCCACTGACAGGCTCAGATTATTATTCTGAAACAGCACCGAAATCACTATCGGCAAACCAAACGGACTTCACTTAAATAAACAGTAATGTTATGGTAGTAAAACAAACTTCATTTAAAGGTGGCAGACATAAAATAAAACTCACAACAGGTTTCCAACAATCACCAGTTCTGGATTGGTTGAAATAAACCCCATAATTCACCCAGTTAGATGTGAAAATAAATATGCTAGCTCTATACATGTTAAAGTTACTGTTTATTTAAGTGGAGTCTGGTGAGTTTGGCGATAACTATTTTGGGGCTGTTTCTGGTTAAACAAACAGGTCTATCTCTGTAGGGATCCTATGCATTATGCTGTAAGACACTTACAATAACAGTGTGAGCCTGTCAGTGGCAAAAAGGAAATTTTAGTGGATGGGATTACACTACAGCCTGTTTTGCCGCTGTTGGTTGCAGCCCTCTTGCTCAATACTGGACCAATTTCGAAAATGGCTCTTCCAAATATTCACTTAGACACAAAAGCATACAAAAGTTGAGTCCAGGATGGAAAATATTTCAGTTATCTTCCAAGAACTTGCTTCTAGTGATTGATGAATAAATCTAACACCATCGTATCTTCTTCTGCATTTCCTGTTTACAGGTGAAGTAGGTGACTGGAGAAATCATTTCACACCTGAGCAATCGAAGACGTTTGATGAAGATTATGAAAAGCAAATGAAGGATGTCAACATACCGTTCAGGACCCTCATCTAACCGATTTTGGGTTTCCAAACTAATGCAGCTCTTCAAACCAAAGACCAATGAAACAAAGGCCAATGAAGCAGAGACCGATGAACTGACACTGTGCAGCACTCAGAAGGCAGAAATACAGTCAGAAAATCTGACATGTGCTAAACACCAAATCAAAAACATAAATAAAATGAAATTGAGCGTGGATGTTAAACACTGTAATCACTGCGCCTCCTGATGGAAACCATCCAAATGTACATTTAAAGGATCAATAAAAATGTGCTCCACGATACAAGTGAGTTGGTAGTCATCACTTTATTGCAGCTTATCACGTAAACAATATATAAGACCAAAAGTGTTGTGACTGAGTGGACATGCCCATTTTATGTCATGAGACCTCCACCAGAGTCTGCTGACCGCATGGAGCTTATAGAGAGCGCTGGCAGCTGGAGGCATGTGGTTTTTCTGCCCATATGAAGTCATTTTGCAACCCTAAACCACACTGTACAGAGCCCAGCCAAAGCAGGGAGGCTGCACGAGACACGAGCAACAAAGACTAGAATAAAAGTAATGAGCTGGAAAGTCAATCATATGAAAATGGACAGAGGACACAAAAACACAACAGCTGAGAATATCCAAGTTTAACAAAAAAAATCACTTTTAATACATACTTTATTTCTGAGAATAAAATCTTAAATATTTGAATACTTTATCAGCAAAGATACTTCCCGTCATTTACTCAAATCTCCTTCCTTATATAGAGGCTATGTTTATGTAGAGTTTTTTTGAAAAGTTTTTTGTTTGTTTTTTTTTGTCAGTTTTTCCATGTTTTCTCCTCTCTCTTCTATTGGTTGGCTCGCTATGGCTACTTGATCTTCTCTCTCTTCTCCGCCTCATCCTCTCCAACCCTTAAGATCCTCTTCTTCTACATCTCTATTTAGCTTCTGTACCTGGTAAAGAGAAAATGGAAAATCAGGGAGGGAAAGGACTTTTGGGCAACAATGGAAAGCGACGCAAACGACACTTTGGACAAATCAGACAGAACAAAACTTAAACTACCTATGCAGACAAACATATGATCGCTACTGAGTCAAGGCGCCTTCTCGCTAAAAAAGCATGACGTAATCTATGAGACAACAGCTCACTTCAGAGTGATTTATTTTTGACATCAAATCTAATGAAAGCAGCAAGCAAACTAAGTTTCTACTCAAGCCATTTTGCCCAAACAGCATATCAATCCTATTTAAAAATTCTCAACACTTAAGGGTATCTACAGATATCAGACACTTAAATGAAATAATTCTTAAGATCATTTTATTATCAAATTTAAAACAGATTTTTGGACAAATCTTTTTCTTATTCAAGTTTTGCAGCTAAGAATAAAGCGAAGTAATATGTATGTAGTCCCATGCAGAGGTAGGTTTTAAGAAGAATATGGATATAAGAGTGAGAGTTTGCTTAATCTACATTTTGCCAACAGGTCAGTGCAAATATAAAGTAAAATGTTTGTGGCAATTAAACCCTCACAAATTCAAATTTAAGACTATTTTTTAAGGTCCAACATTTTTAACATTAAATTTGAGATATTTTTAAGACTATTTTAAGACCCTCCATTTTGTAAAACATCTTTATCAGTCCTCACATTTAATAATCATAAGCAGTGTGTGAACATTTGAAATGGTTTCTAACACATTATAGTGTGGTTATAAGTGGATAAACAGATATTTTAAGTCGTAGATTTCACAGACCACTAATTCAACTGTGATCTGTTGGGGTTTTGGTTTTTTTAGCATTTGGCGTGCAGTGTACTTGTTGGGACGATTTGGTCCCTATATTTGGCTGCAAAGTGAGTCCTCCTCGCTATTACGTTGCTCTCCGGAACAAGCAGCTGCACATCCAGACCCAGGGTGAGTCTGTGTGAGATGGAGGCAGCTGCCCAGAGGAAGACAGGCTTTTCCCAGTCGGGCTTTGAGAAATTGTTATTTTGTGTGTTCTGTTGAGAAGTGGTGAATTCACAGCTCACAGTAACTTCAGGTCTAGTCTGCAGGATTTAGTGGCACCTGGTGGCTGAGTTTGCAGATTTCAACCAACTGAAACTGCTCCCATGTGTCAAAGGTGTAAGTGAAGGCCCTATGTAGTGCCAGAGTTGGATTTGTCTGCTCTGAGCTACTGTAGAAACAACAGGGTGGCTTTCACTGAAGATGACCCGCTATATGTAGATATAAACAGCTCATTCTAAGGTCATGAAAACACAACGGTTCTTATCTTCAGGTGATTATAAACTGATGAAAACAATTTATATTATATTATATTATATTTCTGCCAATATATTTTACACACCCTGTCCTAAGTCTTACACAGTGGATCTTTAATACAAAACAAAAACAAAAATTCTGGCTTTTGTCTGACATCTAGTAAAAAATGTTGATGCACATTTCTGATCTGTTTTTAGTGTAGTTAGTTCACATGAACTCGAAGGGCTAACTAGGCTTGTTTGCCATATTACTAAAACGTCACCGTCACCCTGAACGAGCCCTGTTCAAACTCTCAAACTAGATGGAAAAAAAAGAAATCAATAGTTGAAAATTCTCATTGAACAGCCAAATTCAATTTGACAGACATAATTCTGATTTAGGTGCAACCCTATTGTATAGTATTTTCAACGATTATAACTTCTCATATTAAAACATTTCCTATACAATTACATCTGAGTAATATTATATTATCATTCATTATCTGCTTATATATCATCATCCTGTTAAGAGTTAAATCTGTTGATAACAATGTCAATTAACACTGTTAAAGACCTTACATCTGCTCACAACTACATTGTAGTGCATTATAAACTATTACTGTTTAAATACTGCTCCTACTGAGGAGGATTAAAATCAAGTGTTGCTGAAGGCTTTTTGATGTACACCAACAATATTAAGCTTTTTTGCAAAACTTGTATCACAACAGGCACTGGTCCCACTCCTACCTACAGACAGAAACAACCCAAAAAACGCTGAAACGCCAACACTTACAGCAGCTCAGAGGTGACTGACTCACCGTCTGAGGCATCTCATGAGCCGCTACAAACACAGAGCTCAGAGGAGGACATCAGATACAGAAAGTAGCACTCACTCAGGGATCTCCCTGTTCATTAGTCATCGTGTCACCTTGTCAGTTTTGACAGATTCACTTTTTTATCATATCATAAGGTAGTAGGAAGAAGCCAGAGGTCCACACCAATAGGAGTGTGGCAATACACAAACTACACCACCGAGGACTGATCTGCATAAGAGCAGGAACATGCGCGATACAGCGAAAAATACACCAACATGCACATAAACTACAGACACAGTGATAGCCAGCAGAAGTTCAAGTCATGGAGTACCTT